GTGTGGTGTGTGTGTGGTAGTGTGTGTGTGTGTGTTGCGTTGTGGCTGGTGCGTAGTGCGGTGTGTCGTGTGTGCCGCGTGCGTGCGTGCGTGTGGTGTGTGGTGTGAATCTTTCTCTCTCTCTCTGCTCTCTCTCTCCCTCTCTCTCTCTAATCGCTCCCCCCTCTCTCTACTCCCTCCCCCTCTCTTCTCCTCCCCCTCTCTCTCTCTCTCCTTCCTCCCATGTCTTACCTTATTCCGGACCGACAACACGAACCAGCTGGTACTTTGCCTCCAGTATCAAGGCGCTGGACTGAGGTTGCCATGCATACCAAGCGCTGCCAAATCGTCGCTGTTCGGCACGCATCTCATCCTTGCAGCCGAGATACGCAATTAATAAATAATTATACAATGATAATAAATTAGTAATCATTTGTAATAATAATAATAAAAGACGAGGAAGAAGAAGAAGAAGTACTAGTAGTAATAGTAGTAGTGTAGCTAAGAAGAAAGACAGAGATAAGAAGACCAGAATGAACGTATGATGATGATGATAAAAAAAGAAATAGAAGAAGAACAAGCAGTAGATGAAGAATAAGAAGAAGAACCTAACACACATACCAATATAATTATGCATATACACACATATATATACAAATTATACATATACATATTACATACACATATTAGTATATATTAAAATATACATATAACATTATTATACACATATCGATATAGTAAATATATAATATATATATATATATTATTATGTACATATATAAATGCAAAACATAGGATTTATACGAAATCAACCTCGCGCCTCTTACCTTGAACACGAGAAGAAGGACAGATTAGAAGTAATCTCATCGAAAGTCGCGGGCTGGGCGCCTGAGTGACGTAGAAGTCACGGCGAATCCGGCGGCTCGTCGACGCAAACCAGATGCGTACTTAATAAAACACACACCACACGCAGACGCACGCACGCACGCACGCACACACACACGCACGCACGCACATAAATATATATATATATTATGAATTATTCTCTACACACATGACGTCGGCAGGCGACGGAGCGATCTCGAACGACGAGGTCGTCGTCTCGTTCTTCCACCTGCTGACGTCTGCCGCCTGGAACGGCATCGCCATGGGCGCCATGGACGTCGCCAAGCGACACGTCGTCGGCAAGGAACACGGAGACACAGCGCTGCGTGTCGCCGATTACGTGACGATACAGGTGAGCGCCGGTCAAGGTCACGTCAGGGTCACGTCAATGTGGCGCCAAGGATGGAAGGATGGAAGGATAGATGGATGAATTGATGAATCTGTGAATGTGTGAATTAATGAATGAGTGAATAAATGAATAAATAAATGAATGAATGAATGAATGAATGGATGAATGAATGAATGAATTGATTAATGAGTGAGTGAATAAATGTATGATTGAATGAAGGAATGAATGAACAAATAAACAAATAAAGTAAAGAAAGAAAGAAAGTAGAAAAATTCGAATAAATATAGAAATAAATGAAATAAATAAACAAGTATATAAATAGTGACCTACAGCATTGCTAATGAATTAATTGTATTATTTAATTAACTGGAATAACTTTATGTAATTTAACTTAGTTTTCAATATAAATAGCTATAACTATACATTATTACGCGCATCATTCTCTAGGACTATTTCGGCGACTGTCTTTCGGAGACTAATGCAAGTCGAGCGTTCACCACTGCTATGGCAACGGGCATGGATAAAGTCACAAACAACTGCGACTGGAGCATTCATACGGATCTCAACGTTCACCCGAGGTAAACTTAGAGTAAGATCGCATACTACATAATATTATACTAAAAATATATGTAAAACTAATAATAATAACGAAAAAAATAATAATGCAATTCTTCTTCTACAATATACATAATTAATAATTTAATTATTATGATAAATAAATAAATATATTTATGATTATTATAATTATAATCTATTATTTTAAAGCAATAATATAATAAAAATAAATTACGTACAATATCAATACTATATCATATTGATCGTATTGTGCTATATTATATCATATTATTATAGTGTCAATCATTTCAAATAATATCAGATATGTTTGAGCATAACTATGAGCCTGAACACCAGGCATTAATAACATTAACAACAACAACAACAACAACGACGACGACGATAACAACAACAATAACAGCAACAGCAACAATAATAATAATAATAATAATAATAATAATAATAATAATAATAATAATAATAATAATAACTATAGTTATATTAAGCTCCAATAATTAAACAGAAATGTTGCGATGATGTGTGGTTATCTCCTACTAAATATATATATATTGTCATTATTATCACATTGCTCATTGCCATCGTTGCTCATTGTCATCATTGTCATCATTGTCTTCATTGTCATCACTGTCATTGTCATCATTGTCTTCATTGTCATCATTGTCATCATTGTCTTCACTGTCATCATTGTCATTATTGCCATCACTGTCATCATTGACAACCGCATTTTTTCTCGTTGGTTTCCCCTTGGTGTACGGCCGCGCCCCCTGGGGGCCCTGTAATATATTAAATCAATTGCAGGACGGAGGATTTTCTTCAAGTGGGCTGGCAGACAAAATACGTCGCCGCCAGCAATGTCACCAAGGTTGTTGACAAGATGCTACATGCCTGCGGGGGGGCGGGTTACAAGCTAGAGCTGGGTACGTGTGTGGGGGGATGTGAGTGTGTGCGTGTTTGTTTGTGTGTGTGTGTGTGTGTGTGTGTGTGTCTGTTTGTGTTTGTGTTTGTGTTGTGTGTGCGCACGTGTGTGTGTGTGTGTATGTGTGTGCATGTGTGTGTGTGTGTGTGTGTTGTGTGTGTATGTGTTACGTGTAGTGGGGATCGCTGAGTCTGTGCGTGTTTGCTTGGGTGTGTGTGTGTGTGTGTGTGTGTGCGTGTGTGTGTATGTGTGTGTGTGTGTGTGTGCGTGTGTGTGTATGTGTGTGTGTGTGTGGTGTGTGTGTGTGTGTGTGTGTGTGTGTGTGTGTAATTCACGTTAAACGTCATACGAACCACAATAAGAAGTATTGAACTCTGTGCATAGCTGAATGCGAGAATAATCGATAATATCTCCTTATTGCTCGTGGCAGGGCTGGAGAGCGCTTGCTACGAGATGGCAAAGGACGTATGGGTGATGAGCCCTTAAGCAACGGGTGTGGGTGGAAGAAACTGGATAGGTACTGGCAGTGTCTGCTGGGATTCGAGACATTGACTACTGGTTAGGTTCGCAATGTACTCACCTCACCACCACGGCACGCACGCACGCACTCACGTACGCACGAGCGCGCGAACGCACGCACGGCACGCACAAGCACGTTCGCCGCCAGGCACACAGCGGTGCCGTAAGAATGCTCCTATTCCGCAGTGTGACGTGTGTGTGTGTGTGTGCGTGCGCTGATGTGTGTGCTGTTGGTGTGTGGTGTGTAATTTGTGCGTGTTGTGTGTGTGTGTGTGTGTGTGTGTATTTGTGCTGTGTGTGGTGTGTGTGTGTGTGTGTGTGTGTGTGTGTGTGTGGTGTGGCAGACAGGGCAGTCTAACCAAGTACGGTAGAATATTTTTCATATCAAAAGGTATAACATTTTGGTAACTGACGTTTTCGGTAATAATAATAATAAAGAAGAAGAAGAGAGAAGGAAGAAGAAGAAGAATGAAGAATCCCTATGTCTTCAGGTTAGCACACGTGGTCAATCCAGAGGCCACCGGCTTAATGCCGTTCCGACTCTTTGAAATAAATAATTAATAATGAATACATTAAATATATTGATGAATTTCTTCACATGATTATGTTATTTTTAGGTCTAAAGATAGATTAACAGATCGTGTGTTTGAACTCGAGGAAACTGCATAAGCTCACCGCCACGGACAAAACAAGAGCTAGCCGTGCCAACTACTCCGCAGGCCGCGCTGAAGCGGCAGGCCCAGCAGACCAAACCCGCAGCGAGTTTCCAGGCACGTATAAATCAAATAACTAAACTAAGCTAACATAACTAATAACTAAGCTATATATATATATATATATAATACTATATATGTAACTCGTACTTTCTGGGTAGGCTACAAGGAGTGGTAAGTGTAGAGGCATAGCAACAGCATTAAAGAAAGAAACAAGCACGAACTAGTAAATAACGTACCAACAAAGATGTTGTTTTGGTCATAATTCTACAACAATAGAGAGCAGACCTCCTCTCCTTGCTCCTGCTCCGCAGCGCTCTTAAAATCTAAACCGAACCCTGAACTAATATCTAAATTTAACTGTTGTTGCGAACCTCCCTCCTCTGAACGTGCGCCGGGTGGCGGTGATAATAGCATTATGCCCGCAGAACTCCGGCCCCATCTGCTACCGCACCTTTATTGCTCCGGCTTATTGCTCCGGCAGCCCATTATTGCTACTATCATTACCCTCAGCCGCAGCACCGCGCGCGCTTTCCCGAATATCTCATCTAGTTCCACCTGCTTGTCACCAACGGAAACCAAACCTGGCTATGGCCAAGCTAATTGTAATTAATAAGCCATGGTGAAACCAGCCTTCGTTACACTACTCTCTAAATAAACTATTGATTCGCCCCGATCACAATGGTGAAGATGAGTGCGAAAATGTCGGCAGACGCGGTATCGCGTATGCAGGTGTAACGAAAAGGGTTACTGCGGCGTGGGGTGTGGCTACGTTATTTTGTATCCTGCTCTCTCTACTTTAACGTCTAGATATCAAAAAAACATTATAATTAATGGTTATATTCGGGCGCCATGCCGCTGCGCGTGGCATCTGGCGCTACAATGTTTCATATCTACAATCTTCCGAACGCGAGCCTCTAACTTAACATTCGCTCGTGGCGAGTCTCTTCACCTTCACCATATGAAGTCGATAAACGCGCAATTTAAGAGCGTT